CATACCTAACGCACACCAACATCAAGCGGTTCTGCGTTGGACCTTTAGGATTTTGTGCGCCAGGATTTTGGGAGACTCGACCCTACAAACTCCAGCTATTGGAAAGGTCGTAGTTGGCGAAGAATTTCCTACTTGATAGTCTTCCCTGCTCCGCTTTCCATCAGCACCTGAGGCTTCCACAATGCACTGACATTCGGGCTTGCCACTTGGGTCCTTTGGCAAGTGCGCATCGGCATACCTGGCCACGGCAATACAAGTAGATTTCTAACTGGGGTTATATTAGGGGTTATATAGTAGTTTCCATTTTCTTTTCCATTATCCCTATATAACCCCAATATACTATAGTTATATTAGGGGATATAATGGGGGGGCACGGGATACCCGCATTCCTCTTTCAGTCACTACCATTACTTTCATTCCTTGGATGGTTTGGCGCAACATAAACAATATCTATCTAGGAGAAAAAGCACTGCCGATCTACAAGATGACTTACTGGTTGAAAGCAGGGAGTAGGGAATATAATCCCATAAGTGCTGCAGTCTAAACTCCTACTATCCCCCTGAATAACCCCTATGATCCCCCCCATAATCCCTTATATAACTCCCTTGAAAGAATCTAGGCTATGGCTCAGTTTTTTCTTTCAGAACTTCTTCGCCCACTCTTAGATTAGAAATGCCATGGTGGGCCGGATTGGGCCCATGGTGCAGAATAAGTTCCAAGAACTTGTAAACCAAGTTTCATGGCCATTCCTTTGTGGGTCCTGAAGGGAGGGGGGGCTAAGCCCTGATTCTCTGTTCCTGGGTGTAATATCCCTTTGCACCATATCTCCGGTTAGATCCCCAACATAACCCCTACATTCCCCCTTCAAAGGTACCCCGAAGTTTAGGCGGTGTTTAGACACGTACGTCCTAAATTCATTGGCAAGGTTTTTTTCATTTTGAAGACACTATATAACATATTCCTAAACCCTAGACCCTACACCCTCAGTAAGATAAAGTTCATGGCAGGCTCTCCGGGTGCCACTGCTTATCTGTGAAAACCTTTCAGCACAGTCTGCTCAGTGCCGGCCAGCCTCGCAGCCCTGAATCCTAAAACAAAAATCACAATTAACAGTAATAACAATAGTAATATATTGGTAGTAAAAATAATAGAAAAACAGTACAAATAATAATCAGAATCATACTAGTAATGATAAAAATAAAGTTAGTGATAATGAGAAGACTAAAATGTGGCTGCAAGACATGGGCTGCTAATGCCAGCAAGGCACTCTTTGAGAACAGCCTTCAAATTGCCACGGTCGGACAGCGACAAGTAGCCTTGGTGGTGGTGGTGGTAGTAGCAGTAGTAGTGGTAGCAGTAGTAGTACGCGCGCGTCGCATATTTGACCGCATGCTTTTTGTGATTGCATTGTGCAAATGTCCTAGCAGGGCCAGCACTTCTGCAAATGAAGCAAGTCTAGTTGGCAGGGCGGCAAACTAGTTTTTTCCCGCAGTGAAACCTTTCCAGCTCAAGCACGATGCCATTCACAAGTTCGCCATCGGGTCCCTTTGCTATCTTCAAATCCTGAATAGTATGAGCCAAGTATTGTTGGGTCCCTTTGCTATTTCCTAACCCCGAATAGTGTAGGTAAAGTATTCTTGGGCCTCTTTGCTGTTTTCCTAACCTCGAATAGTGTACGTAAAGTGTTACTGGGCCCCTTTGCTATGCTGGAAATCCTGTATAGTATAGGTCAAGTATCATGGGAACT